ACTTGGACTGTTATTGTGCAAGCATTTCTCTCAGGACTACTAGGGTAAGTAATATTCAACTGTTGACTTTCAAATTATTTACGTTTTGTCTTGATTTATACGACAAATTTTTTTTTATTGATCTAAATTTTTCATATTTTTAAAATTTCATTTTCACTTACATAACATCACATAAATTTATAATTAAAAAATAACAAAAGATAAATTCGTTCAAACCACGAGATCCTAATCAGTAACTCCTTAATTAAGGCTCAAGCAATATATATATATATAGTACTTATAATCTACAAATTGCATCAATTTAAAACTACTATAAAATGAGGCTTAAATTAGTTCATAAAAAGTATAAACGATCAACTTAAAAAGGTGTTCAATCTATTTAGATACAATAAAATTATAGATATCTTGAAAAAAACTTTATGTTTATTCCAATTCCCAAAAACATTGTCACTAACTAACTATGATGTCCATTCAGTTTATTTACACTGTCCTCAAGAATATATCTGCTTATGATATTTTATTATTTTATTTTTTTTAAAAAAAACTCATTATATAACACGAATATTTTAAAGGATACAATTATTATAGTTTTAAAACAATTGTTGCCATCATTTAAGTATCATGTTATATCCAATTGATATTATGACTATACCTTTTGGTCGTTAAAAAAGTATTTTTTTAAAAAAAAATTGTTTTCTAATGTTTAATTAGAAAATGTTACATATGATTATAGTAATCGTGATAGTAAGACAAAAATTAGTATTATTTACTACATAACAATGTTGATACGCAAAGGTATTTTTATTTTTTGTTAATTAGAAGAAGAAATTAGAGATAATAATAAATTGATGTGATGAAATTGTTGTAATTTCAGGGGTTCATTATTTTCGATTTTATTTTATACAAGTGTGATAATGACATCAGCAACATTTGCAACTGCAATTTACAATCTTATCCCAGCAATGACTTTTGTTATAGCTGTCCTTCTAAGGTATATTTATTTACTTTATTATTATGTTATTCTTTTTTTTTGTGTCTAAAAGAAAAATCTCTAACATTCGAAGGAGGAGGACAAAAGTACCTTAATTGTTCTTGATAGCGCCTTAATTACACATTCATCCATTCTAGTTATTAGTGATAGAGAAAAGGTTTGACAGTTTCGATATTGATGTGAGTTTAAATTAACTCAATTTCGATGTTGAATATTATTGTGAATCTATTTATATAAGTTTCTAATTTTGTCATTGACACGGTGAATTTTTTTTCCTTCCTTAAAATGTTGATTAGGTTTGAGAATTTATCATTTGATAAAGTAAGTGGAAAAGCAAAGGTAATGGGAACAATGATATGTGTTGGTGGAGCAATGTTATTGACATTATACAAAGGAATAGAGGTTCATATGTGGCCTATCAAAATTGATTTGCTACATCATGATAATGAATCAACAACACATAAGAAGTTAGTTGGTGGCACTTTTGCTTTAGGAATTGTACTGGCTGTCACCTCTTGCATTTGTTATTCACTATGGATAGTATTATTGGTAAGTTATACTTCATTTTACCAATAAATGAGTGGAATGAATTTGTTTGCAATTATATATATGTTTGACTAATTATTGTTGTTTTGTTTGATCAATGTGTTAATAGGCTAAGGTAAGTAAAAACTATCCATGTCACTACTCAAGCACAGCATTGATGAGCCTAATGGGATCCATTCAGTCTGTCCTATTTGCACTATGCTTTGACAGACAAGTATCTCAATGGAGGCTTGGTTGGGACAGAAGATTATTTGTTGTTCTCTATCTCGTAAGTCATCAATGTTAATTAACTTATCAACGAATATTATATTCAGTGTAATCCTGTCAGAGAGGTAGAATATACACATATTTTATTAATACCTTTATGTGGTAGAGAGGTTATCTCCAGTAGACCCTCGGTGCCACAAGGCAAAACCAAAAAACAGGCTAGAAAGCAAAATAACGGCAATAAAGTAGCAAGATAAAGACATTGGTCTGTAGACCAAATTTATGCGAGCTTATCTCTATCTTTGTGGGGTAGACACTACTAAAATATCACTATATTCCCACTGAAAATGTATAGTGACTTTTACCTCAGATATTTTGATTCAATCAGTAAGAAAAGAACAAATAGAAGTGTTTTTTTTCACATGGAAAAAATTGGGTGCTTCTCAGTATATTAGTGAAAATTTATTTCTCACCATGCGTTTGCTCAATGAATTTGTTCGGTAAAAAATGGGTGGGAAAATCATTTTTATAACGCAAATTTTCATTGATTCACAATGGAAAGAACCTCTATTTCTAGTAGTGACAGAGACTGTATATGATACACCTTCGAAACGACTTATGAACATATATATAGTATAATAAAATGTTTGTGTTATTAGACAAATTATGTTTGTTGATTATATATAGTTCCTTTTTTTATGCAGGGAACTTTAGGATCTGGAATTGTGGTGATTTTAATGACATGGTGCTCTCAGAAAAGGGGCCCTCTATTTGTCTCAGTCTTCAACCCTCTAATCCTTCTTTTTGTGGCACTAGCTAGCTCATTGTTTCTTAACGAGACCCTATATCTAGGAAGGTAATTATTCAAATCTTTTTTTTAAAAAAAAATCCTATTTATTTAATAGTTTGATATTTCAACTTGTGGTTAATTAGATGTTATAATCATGATATATTATGAAAATTGCTTGAATATATAGTATCAACATACTTATATGTGGTATAAATGACATCTAGTCCTAACACTTTGTAGTTGTCATGTATACTTAGTGTATAACAAATGTATACATTAATAACTGTATACAAATTATACATTGATTATACACTAGCTACATACTGGTTCTTTGTTGAATTGTTGTACAGTGTAAAAGCCTTGGTAAATCTTCTTACTTGCTTAACTTGTTGGTTATGAACAGTATATTAGGTGGATTGCTTATAATAATGGGGTTGTATGTGGTGCTATGGGGAAAAGGAAAAGACATGAAGGCTTCAAAGGCTATTATATTATCCAAAGGAGCTTTGCAGAAAAATGATTTAGAAGCTCCTAATCAAGATCAAGGTAACATTAATTAACTTAATTTTATTAATTTAACTGTCTAATCTATACATGTTTAGGTTGAATAAATAAATTCTTTCATATAATGATGATAATAATACAATTGTTCTCTTATCTATCATCTCAAAAGTATATGAAGCCCATAATTTCTTTTATGACATTAATTGTAAAACATACCTAACAACTAAAGTAATTTATGAACAATCCCTTAGATATATGACATGAAAATCATAGTTCATTCTTTACTCTTTTTAAACTTCTTTGTTAATCTATCGGAAACAACCTCTCTATTTTAAAGGTAGTGGTAAGGTCTGGAATTTTGCGTACACTTAACAATTCTCAGACTCCACTTTGTGCGATTTCACTGAATATGTTGTTGTTTCAACTTCTTGTTAATGAGACTTTATCTTATGCAGACACTCCTTCAACAATAAAGCAAGGCTTGACTCAATAGGAATTGGAATGTGTTTGTGGGCTATTTCTTGCACAAAGTTAGGACTACCAAGAGGCCCAACACCATGCAAATGAAGGGGAAAAAAAAAGTTCCAACTTTGTCATTTGATATATAATGTGGAACTATCAATATATATATATTACATATATAGCCACCTTAAATGATAATTGTAACATGTAAGGCAATATGTGTACCCCATTAGTGGGCATTCCAAGAAAATAGTATACATAATGATCATCAATATTGATAAGCCTTCCAAAGTTTAATTTTGTAAATTAGGAATTTAAATTTGATTAGTAGAAACTGTTGAGCGAGTTCAAATAAATGTGTTTAATATGCAATATCAAAGCGTTTTGTCAAAATCATATCTTGAGACGAGTTTAAAAAAACCAGAGTCATGTATAATTTAGGAGGCAGTACAACTATTGGTCATAAAATGGAAGATAATTTTATTTATTTATACTACCTTAGACCACATATAAGTGATGAACTTCCATAGAAATAAGCATTTGTGTGAAAATGACTTGATTTTAACCTTTTTGTTTATCTCTATTAGTTCATCACCAAGTGTATGGAAGAATCTGAATAAAACAAATTGGTCCTCCAAATTATATTTATTACTATCCTAGAAATTACAAATTTGGAACCTTTTTATTTTGAAAATCCCTTGGGTGGGTGGTTGAATAATAAATATTTAAAGAGGCTTGTCAAGTTTAAAAATTAAAAATATGTACTGGTCACAATTAAATAAGTATGTAGTCTGGCACAGTGTCTTTGTTTAATACTTGGGAATCCAAAACTCAAATAAATGAAGAAAAAACAGATCCAAGTGGTTTAAATTTGAGGTTGATTATTAGTTTTCATTTTAAATTATTATCGAGTCTTAAAATTATTTTTATATGATTAATTAAATTTGAATGTACTTCGATCTTACAAAATGAGTGAGATATCTTTTAATTTTCTCCAAGTTTAAATGTGTTTTCAGCACTTCTCTTGCTGTTTTATTAAGAGTTAGAAATTACTTCTTATGTCATGCGACATATTAGAAATGTACAGAGGTATTTTAATGAATATCAATAGTTCGAAAACGAAATTAATAATTTAGGTTAATTTTAGAAGTGTTTACAGTACTTCTCTGTATATTAAATGTTATTTACTTCGTTTCGAACAAACAAAGTCACCTTTTTACATTTGAAATAATTTGAATTTTAAAAATTTCTTTTATTTTTGATAAAATTAATATATAATTACATAAATATCTTTCTTGAATACCATGTCAGAACAAATGATATCATACAAAATTGAAACGAATAAGTATAATTTAACAAATTCATGAACCCAAAATATATGTATTTATGAAAAATATGCACACTAGACACCACTATAATGTTTTATTTTTGTTTTTCTTCAAAAATAAATTAAAAATCACAATTGGTATGTCAAAACATAACCACAAGGACAAGATAGACATCTCTCATATTTCTTTCATAAAAAGGCCTAAAATAAATAAGAAGAGCAAACAACATAGAGAGATGGCAACAAAGGCTTTAATTCAGCCTCAAATCAGAGTTTCACATCTGTCTCCTCCATTGCCAAATAGCATTGAAATGATGATAAGAAACAATAATATTATTAATTCTCCAAGAAATTTTAACAAGATTTCAAGATTTGAAAGAACCATTTTTGCTTCTTCTCAACAACAACAAAGTAATGTTGAGATTTCACATTCAACTTCTTCCCAAATCAAGATTCAACTATATGATGCCTTACAAGGTAATATAATTTTTCATTCTCTTCTATCTTTAGTCGGGGGCGGAGCTAGTCAGAGTCAAGAGATTTATCAAAAAAAAAAAATAGTAGAAAATGATAATGTTTATTTGGTAGATATTGATTCTTGTTAATTTTTTCATATGTTTACGTTTTTATATTTTGAATTTGTTTAGCGAAAATAATGTGGCTTTTGTAGTCTCTCCAATCTGCACCTCTGATTCTTTATCTCTATGTTTAGGGATTGAGCTAGTTGTCTTGTCTAGTATTTTAGGGATTGTTTAGTAGGCGGGATAAAAATAATAATTTTAAAAATTAATGTTAGTAAATTTTGGAAATATTTTATTTCATTATTTGTATTAAATGGTGGGGTTATATGTACAAACTTTTCTTTATTTATTAATGGGCTATATAGAAAGTAGGATAAAATAATTTAATGAAATATTGTTATTTTATTTCGCGTTCTGAACAATTCCTCATATTATTAACTTTAGGTATAATACATAGATATTTATTTAAATTTATTAGTAATTTTTATTTAAATATTTGAAGTATGATCTATTTTAATTGAACAATTGAATACATGATAAATATTTTTATTCCAACATTTTTTTGTCAATTTTGAAAAGGATTTTTATGCATATTATTAAGTAACTAATAATTTCTTTTATCATACACATTAGCCTCAATAAATTGTAAAATTCATACTTATTCTAATTGATATGTATAAATAAAAGATGAAACGTATTTCATGTAATTAACTTATCTACTGAATGACATTTGAAAAACACTCACAAAACTGTTTTAAAATATGAAAATATTTTTAATACATATATTCTTATTTTTTGTTTGTTGAAAATATTGTTTAGGAATTAACAGAGGAATTTTTGGAGTATCATCAGACAAGAAAATTGAAATAGAAGAGCTAGTCAAGCAATTGGAATCTCAAAATCCAACTTTTGAACCAACATTATCTCTAGATAAGGTGATGTGGTATTGTGCCATACCATTATTACTTCCGTAGTTTCAATTTATTTGACATTTTTTTTTTTTTCGATAATCAAATAATTTAAATTTAACTAGGAATTTACCCATGGAAATTTTAAATTTTTAAAAAATAAAATTCTTATATTTATAAACTATATACAAAATACTATAAGTCACGATAATTGATCGTTCAAAATATTTTATAGATACATGAAAAATTATGATCAACGCAGATTATTTTATATCTCTAAATCCAAAAGTGTCATATAAATTTGGGAAAAAAAATATTTTATTTATTTTACAGTTGAATTACATGTATATTTCTGATTTAGAATAAATGATTTTGGTTTATGAGTAGGTGGCTGGAAATTGGAAGCTTATATACAGTACAATAAGTATTTTAGGATCAAGAAGGACAAAATTAGGATTGAGAGATTTTATCACACTTGGGGATTTATATCAAAATATTGATATTTCTGAGGTATGCTATTTTAATTTAAGATTACGAGATTTAATTATTTTATTTTTTAAAATTTTGCATAAAAATGAAATATTACGTATTTTTTATTTTGTCATAGTTTGACTAATTTCAAATATTTTAATGATGATATATGGAGGGAAAAGCTGTGAATGTGATTAAGTTTAATGCCAGAGGATTAAGTTTATTAAGTGGAGAGTTAAGGATTGAAGCTTCCTTCAAAATTGCATCAAAATCAGTTAAGATTTCTCTCCTTTTATTATATTTTTAAGAATATACAATTTTGTTGATTTTCATATTTCTACTTTTTTTTTAATTTGATTTTTATTTTTCAATTTTAGAGAGTTGACATTTTCTACAACAATTCTGGAATAACACCAGATCAGGTATGGTTTGATCATGTTTCCGACATGGCAAAAAGTTATTATTCTAGCTCGTTTAATCGAGAAATAAGTTATTTTCGTTTGATTGAGAAATAAATTATTTTAATATTAGTTATTTCAAGATTTGTAGTATAAGATAGAAATAACCTTATAATCTCGAAATAACTAATTTCGAAAAAAATTATATTTCATGATTTCGTTTCAATCAAATATAAAATAAAGTCATCTTAAAATTAAATAAAAGATTAGTTATTCTTTATTTCGAACGAGCTCTGAGTGTAAAAATAAAACTACTTTAAACTTATTTCTTCTGTTAAATGAAATTAATAAAGCAAATAGTTTAACAAAGAACATGCACATGTGATTATGTCAGGGTAAAAGTAGATCTAAAGAATATATTAGGTTTTTTTCAAGTACTTTTTCATGTAATCTTTAATTTTTTTTAATTCATTAGTTTCATAAAGAATTAATTTAGAAGTGTTATATATCATATATACATTGATTTAGTTTGTTTGGAACAGTTAATGAACGTATTTCAGAAAAACTACAATCTTCTCCTTGGCATCTTCAACCCACAAGGTTGGCTTGAGATTACGTATCCTTTTGCGAATCGAATAAACGGAAGCAATCACTAATATTTATATTAAAATAAGCTGTTTATACATATTATTTGGGTACAATTTTTTCTTATCAGATATTATTAACACAGAATGTTCTATACACCATACTGTCTTTTTATATGTATATTTATATAAATACATGCAAAATATCCTTAATCTTGAAAATGCAGATATGTTGATGAGAATTTGAGGATAGGTAAAGATGACAAGGGCAACATTTTTGTTTTGGAGAGGGTTAATTAATTGAATCCCAATTTATTTATGTGTAAATTTTAATAAATCCTTACTACATATAGAAGAAATACATCAAGTTTTTCTCTTCATAGTCCATCAATTTTTCTCTCAATCATATACCTTTCTATTATTGGTTGGTTTTTTGTTTATTTAATTATGCTCAAAATTATATATCTATGTATACCATGTTTAATAATTTTGTATCGCGAAAGAAGGGATAATTTTCTCCTGCGATATTCATCTTTAATTCGATTTCAATTACAACTTAAATGAAAGAGAACTTTTTATTTTAAAATTTGACTCGTTTAACTGAATTTTATTTTGTAAATCGACTATATATCTACATAGTTTTACACGTCTCAACAACTCAACCATACTTCAAAAGGTGTTCAATGCACAACCAACAACATATACTCAAGAACAAAATGACAACATTAAGGGCCCGTTTGGCCATGGATATGGTATCATGATATGGAATTATGATATGATATCGTGATATGAAATTGTAGTTTTGTTTGGACATGCGATATAGAATTTTGGTGTTGTATATTTTCTCATAAACATAATAATCTCATAAGTTCTAAAACTATTAAATAACCCCAATTGTTTATTTAATATTATCAAATAAATAAAAAATCATAAAATCGTATAATAAATTATTACAAAGTTATTTATTCTCCACTTAAGTAATTATTTCTTCAATATATTTGACTAAAAATGAACACCTTTCACGGGGTCTTCAAGATTTTACTACTCAACAATCATGAAGTGTGAGTTAAAATGATTATATGTACTTGAGAAGAAGAATAAATTTTATGTCGGTGAAAATAATAAATTTAAAAAAGTAATGATGTGATTATACATTTTATTTACATGTGAAATAAATAGTTAGTAGATATAAATGTGGTGTTGTTTTAACAGAATATAAACTTATGGATCAACTTTGTATTAAAATAACTCAAATCATGATATAGTATTCCTATGTGATTTCATATCATGGTTTTTGGAGAATATGGTATCACATCTCATCTCATGATAATTACCGTAAAATTGCATGACTAAACGCTGATTCCATCTCACAATACCAAATCGTGATATGGTATCATATGACCAAACGCCTACTAACAATTTTAATTATATTACAATTTACATGCATATATATCTTTCTCATATCTACTTATTAACTTTAGTAATAAGTAAAAGTCACAAACGAGTAAGATATGTAATTCTTACGTCTCACTCAAATATTTAGATACCAAGTAGCCTTTTCAATTGGATGATTAAATAACTTCACATAACTTTCATTGAAATTATATCTTTAATTCAAAGCTTACAAACACATTTATCTGTTATGACAATATGAACTAATCGCAAAACAATATCATCAAACTTATATTTCTAGTTTATCAAATCACATGACTAGGATCGTGAAGTATTATGTGTACTTTATTAATAAAATAATAATAATTATGCATAAAATAGAATGGAAGGTATATCTTTCAAATCTTATAGAGTAAAATTAAAAAAGTTAAAACTCAAAAGAAAAAGTCAATGTGAAAAGGAGGTTGAACAACCAACGGCTGAGATTAAATCTAACACGTCAAAAGAAGGTGCTTGAAAGGTTGTCAAATGACAGATCATATACAACTCCTAATAATAATGGCTGAAATTATTCCTACACCTATCAAACTATTTAAATAAACAAATAAAAATTTAAAAAGTTTCTATTTTTAGACTTTATAAAATTTCACAAAATATTTTATAGTTGTCATTCAATAATGACTTCCCTTGCTTTCTCACTTTTATTGAATTCGAATCAGCAAGTTTCCTTTTATTGATATCTTATTTTATTACTATATTAAAAAATATAATGTGCAAATTTAATTTTTTTAATTAGAGATATTAAATTTGAGAAATTAATATATATAAAAATATTTATTAATTGAAAGTGTTTTCCGATAAATGGAGCTCTATGGGCATGAACTTAGATTATTTTTGAGTTCTTTTAGATAGTTAATATTTTAAATTTAATTTCTTATATAGTTATCTACCTGTTGAAAAGGTTTTAGTAAAAATTATTTTGATTCTTTTTATCCTCTAAATGACCATTCAAGTGCAGTGTTTTGGTTTTGCACATTTTTTTTAAAAAACATACTCGATACAAAATACAACATTCAAATAAATTAGGACTAAATATTATTATATAAATAAAATATATTAATTAATGTTATTTCAGCATTTAAAATGAATATATTTATATTTGACAATTATTTTAAACCATTTGACATTAATGCTAAAAATTATTGCAACATCTTAACATGAAAATAATATTCCTTGAAAATTCTTGCATATGCTTAAAATTTAAAAACTTTTTTTTACAAAAGATAATTTAAGATGAATAAGCATTCAGAGCCTTTACAAATACAATTTTAATTATTCTATACAATATAAATTACGCATTGAAAAGCTTACACAAACATCTTTTCACACAAAAGAAGAAAAAGCATATATTTTAAAAGTCTAAATTATGTTAATATTTTGTTATAGATCGAATTCCTTTAAACTTGACAAATAAAAGGGATAAAAACAATTGCATTTTTAGAGTTGTTTGATAAAATGCCTAAAGATATTATTTCATAAAGTATATCAATAATGCTGAAATCAATAGTTTTTGAATAATTTTATTCACTATTTGATTTGGTGTGTATTAAAGTCAGTTTAATCTTTTACCATATATCCTATATTAATAGCACATGTATTATCAATACAATAATTTTGTCACATGTTAGTCATAAATCGTATTAATGTATAACTAATATATGTAGTCTATAATATCATAAAACATATATCATATATTTTTAGTACATTTTATAAAATGACCCCTTAATGAATAAGAAAACATATTTAATAAATAAAATTTGAATTATGAATTTTTCAAAATTCGAACTTACAAGACCTTAGTATTTCAATGATGATCTTTTTCTTCAAAATATGATATTATTTTGCATTCTCTATCAAGAAAAAATAATAGAAAAGAAAAAAGAAAATTCACCTACTCTTATAATTCCTTAAATTTACTAGTCCAACAATTACTACTATTATTTATGTATCCATATAATATATGATTTGAAAAAAGCTTGTCCTTTTTGAAAACTTTAGCATTTGTCATTTTGGTGTTGTTGCACTTTTAAATTTCAAATTCAAAAATTCCTACAACCAAATATTTACTGCAGTAATTAATTATTTTCATTAAAAAAATAAAAATCATATTTTTTTAAAAAATATTTAAATTTCAAAACCCTCTTTTTCTTTTTTGTATATAATAAGCTTCCCCTAGAGTCTTAAGATTCCTCATTTTGTATATCTCGTTTCCCCAAACAGAGTCTTCGAAGCCGCCGGCCATAATCTCCGGTTGCTTTGCTAAATCTACGGTGACCACTTTCCGATCTCCTCTCAGTTCCCGGTAAGTCAAGATCTGGTCTTTCTTATTCGTTTTTTTTTGATTTTTTGATGGATTGAGCTATGTGAAAATGTAAAGAAAATTGTGAGATGCATGTGGGGATTATGTTTTGAGATCTATGGAAGTGGTAAAAGAGATTGAATTTGTTTATCTGAAATGGGTATTTTTTATATTTTGGATTGACTAGTTAGATGTAGTGAATCAAGTATTTGAAGGTTGAGCTAATATAATTCTGGATCTGATGAAGTGGATCTATGTTGAGGTTGATCTGCTATGGATTTGCCTTGATCTACTGTTTGATTATAGTTCAAATGGTTTTGAATGGTGTTCTGTAGCTCTCTTATGGTGATTGATGAATAAATTTTGTTAAAAATAGAAGAAAAAAGCCTTCTTTTTCGTTGGAACTGAAATTGATTATGTCCTTTTGGCTTTTTGATTACTTTGTATCTCAATGAGATGTAGCTTAGTTGAAAATGAGTGTGGAGTGACTGAGGGGTTTTGCTTTTTTGTCTCCGATTGGATCGAGGAGAAGTAAGTTATAGAGCGAGAAGTACGTGATGCAGTGTCATTTGGATTTACTGGATTGATAGTTGAATCATAGAGTTTTAAGATATTTTCACTTTTGATTTCCCTCTTTTATCTATGTTGGGATGTTGATTGCCAAGTATCCAATGTATTGTCATTTTGATATGCTTGATCGATAGGTTTTGACGTCCGAGTTTTAAGATACATCTGTATTGGGATATTGTCTTATCTGTAAATCATCTACCTATGTTGCTGACTAGGTATCTGGACTGGATTTAGAATTGCTTATTAATCCGTTGTTTGTATTGGCAGTTGAATAGAAAATGGCTGACGGTGAGGATATTCAGCCCCTTGTTTGTGACAATGGAACTGGAATGGTGAAGGTCAGTCTTTATTTTTTTTACTTTGGTTTACAATTACCGACTCACGGTAGTTGAACAACGTGTTCTGTTATATTCTTGAGATGTTTCTGATTTTTTTGGTGAATAATTGGATTGTTTGAATGTAGGCTGGATTTGCTGGTGATGATGCCCCTAGAGCAGTGTTTCCTAGCATTGTTGGTCGTCCTCGCCACACTGGTGTTATGGTTGGAATGGGTCAGAAAGATGCATATGTTGGTGATGAAGCTCAATCCAAGAGGGGTATCTTGACCTTGAAATACCCAATTGAACACGGTATTGTCAGCAACTGGGATGATATGGAGAAGATCTGGCATCATACTTTCTACAATGAGCTTCGTGTTGCCCCCGAGGAGCACCCTGTTCTGCTTACTGAAGCACCTCTCAACCCTAAGGCCAACAGAGAGAAAATGACCCAGATTATGTTTGAGACCTTCAACGTTCCAGCTATGTATGTTGCTATTCAGGCTGTGCTTTCCTTGTATGCTAGTGGTCGTACAACTGGTTAGTATTAGTACTCTCATGATCCGAATCTTCCCTTGTTGGAAAGTTGTTTTTGATCTGACATTATGAGTGTCTTTTGACAGGTATTGTGTTGGACTCTGGTGATGGTGTGAGTCACACTGTCCCTATTTACGAGGGTTATGCTTTGCCGCATGCCATTCTTCGTTTGGATCTTGCTGGTCGTGATTTAACTGATAACCTGATGAAGATCCTCACCGAGAGAGGTTACATGTTCACCACCACTGCTGAACGGGAAATTGTCCGCGACATGAAGGAAAAGCTTGCCTATGTGGCTCTTGACTATGAGCAGGAGATTGAAACTGCCAGGAGCAGCTCCTCCATTGAAAAGAACTATGAATTGCCTGATGGACAAGTTATTACCATTGGTGCTGAGAGGTTCCGTTGCCCAGAGGTCCTCTTCCAGCCATCCATGATTGGTATGGAAGCTGCAGGTATCCACGAGACTACCTACAACTCTATTATGAAGTGTGATGTTGATATCAGGAAGGACCTCTACGGTAACATTGTGCTCAGTGGTGGTTCAACCATGTTCCCTGGTATTGCTGACCGTATGAGCAAGGAAATCACCGCCTTGGCTCCCAGCAGCATGAAGATTAAGGTTGTTGCTCCACCGGAGAGAAAGTACAGTGTCTGGATTGGAGGATCCATCCTTGCATCACTTAGCACCTTCCAGCAGGCAAGTCTTTGTTTCTTTAATCTTCTCTTGCATATACTTTTGCCATATTAAACTGCATTTTGTACTACGTTGTTGCTAACTTAAACTTATTCCATTCTTGATCAGATGTGGATTTCAAAGGGCGAGTACGACGAGTCTGGTCCATCCATTGTCCACAGGAAGTGTTTCTAAAAGGTGCTGCTGCTATTTTTACTTCTGTTCACGAGTTCCTTTTTATGTTCTCCTGCTAAAGCTATTATGTTATCGTCCACAGTGAACTCGGGTCTGCTGTTAGGCAAGTCTTTGAGATGGGGCTATGAAAGAAGGGCAATTAAAACATTGTACTACTGCTGATACTATTTCATGTTTCCAGTACAAGCCTCTTTTGTCTGGAGATATATCCCTTCTTGAATTTGAACTTGAACTTGAACTCTTAGGTTGTTTGTAGTTGCGGAGAGTGATTGTGTTGTTGTTTATTATTTTGTTGGGGTTTTATCTTTCATTTTCTTTGTTTTGCTATCCTATGGTACTTTTTTTTTTTAAAAAAAAACTTGGGAACAAATATGTCGATATTTATTGAATGAGAATTTTTGTAGTATTTTCAGACTTTGGAAATCAGCTTTGTAGTTTATTTGGATGATGTGAGGATTACGTTTTCTGTGGTGAAGTGTTATTTTCATATGTTCGTCCTATTCTTCATTGCGTTTTTTTGTTAAAGCCAAAGGTTTTGAATTCGAAACCTCTGGTTACGCAAAAAGTTTCATCCACTATACGACATCCATCCTTTTATGGCGTAATACATGTGATGTCTCGTTTGAATTTGGGAGTGAATTAATTGAGTTTGGCTTTTGTTTGTGATGGGACTAACTGGCCATATGGATAATTCATTTCTTGTTAGGCCAATGTTTTTTCAATTATAACAATTTCTCCACTTGTCACCAGTGATTATACTTCGATAAGAAGGAATTACAACCAAAATAATAATAATCATGAGGCAACACTCTTAATCAAAGATCTTCTCATACTTGAAATTTCTGATTAAAAAATGCGCACAAACCTAGCTTTTTTTCCCAACTCTAACAAAAGAATGTTGTCCAAAAATATTCTGGAAGATGCTTGAATCATATAATAATATATTTATGTCTTGGTAGGTGTTCATGTGGAAAGGTTGCAATTTTATCTTTACTTTTAATAATAATAATAAAAAAGGCCATTATTTAATCAAAGTAAATAAAAGGTTTGATTTAATACTACTAATTAAAGATAACACGGCTGTACATGATAGACCCTTTCTCTCTTTAAAGAATTGGTCCGAAACCAACTCAAATAAAATTAGACGCGTGTCACGAGTTTAAATTCGATATATAAGATATTCAATATCTAAAATAGCAATGGACAGAGACCTCTAACGAAGTAACGTTGATTTTCTAAGAGCTAACTGAAACACCAATAAACTCTAACAACGATGAACACATAAGATTTGGGGTCCCCCCTAAACAATCACACACTCTAGTAGTTAGCATCAATAAAAGTTGGGGTAAATTTTTTTAAAAATAAAAGTAGGGGTAATCTTGAGTGTATCAAGTTGGCAAAATCAGTGGGTAACCAATCTTTTCAGACATGGTCAGCACACATTTTGATTATTCTCTTTAACTAGAAGATTAAAGCTAAATAAATTCATTTACTGACTTTTTCCATGTGCTTTATTTGTTAATTAAAGATGAACATTTGAACTTTTCAACATTACAATATAAATATAGTACATTAAATAAGTGTTTTGGATCATTACTTTTCTATATATTACCACTAAATTAATGTATATGATATCAATTTGTTGATTGTCTTATCAATGAAACATTATTGAACCCAACAATAGCATGTTGAGAACGCTTCATCTTTTAAGCAAGCCCAACTATGTTGCCTTTATTTACTGCGACAAAAACAAATTTTTAGCGGTAATAATGTCATTGACAAATATATATATTAAGAAAAAGTGCTAAAGTTTTTATCGACATTAGTTAGTTGTCATTAGATTTAATGTTACTATAAACTTTAGGAGTATTTACAAAGAGTGTGTATTGCTCCTAAAAAATACATATTTATCGATAAGTAAGATAAATTCATTAATGAAATACTGTTAAAGATCATTTTTGTTATAATGATTATTTTATCTATTTATTTTTTCTTCTTTTAGTAAAACCAAGTTATTAGAGATCACAAAATGAAGCATTAGTTGGTTATTACTGCACCAAAATTGCGAATTGAATTTGTTAAGTTAAATACGAAATTGATTCTTTCGGATTGCGTGATAAAATTAGCCTTTAGAGGCAATCAAAATACATAGTAATAGTCGGTGCTAAAATCTTTACAGACATAAGTTAGTTTATATTGAATCCAATGTCACTAAAGATTTTAGAGACATATATCATTGCCGCTAAAAATAATTATTTAAAGATAATTAAATTATTATCGTTAATTAATTGAAGCTAAAAATGTAATATTTATCCTTGAGCACTATGGTGGAAAACGTAGTAGACACTTCTATATGTATAATGGACATAAAAGTATATGACTTAGAAACTAATTTTACCATATAAGAGTATTGTAAAGAAAGCAATTTAATTATCCTCATATATGACCTTTGTTTCGTAACTTTGAAGAGTAGAGAATCATTGTTTTTTTTTCTTTTGATTGAAGCAAAATACAAACACATGAAATATTTCTCTTTCTTTGTTTTATATATACTTTTATTTTCCTTCATTATAAGTTCATTTTTTGAGTAACTGTTAGCAAAGTAAATTACTGTCATAAAAGGGCGAATTTAGGAGGAGGCGAGTATTCATGAGATTTTACTAGGAAAAAAGCTTACGTAATTCTCCGTCGAAAGTTGGGGTAGCGGTACGTATAATTTCACCATTTTAGGATTCATTTTGAATATTTAGGGACCAATTTATAGGACTTAGATAATTTTCTTAGTTTTTCGTATGTGTTAAGCCTTGAGTATTTTGGTGGTATGACTTTCGGATAATTTTTTTGCGAAACCATTACGAAATCCTATGTAGGGAGTTGAGGGAGCAATACATAGAATCTCACCATTTTTAAAGTTCATTTTGGATGTTTACGAGTCAATTTACTGAAATCAAGCAATTTTCTCAATTTTTGCATGTGTTAGTCTATGAATATTTTAATGATATGATTTTCGGACGATTTCTTTATGAAACCTTTACGGAATCCTCCACAGAGATGGTGGAGCAATACATACAATCTTACCATTTTTTGACTCCAGTTTGGATATTTAGGAATCACATTAAAGATAATATCATTATAAATCATCCTAAAACAGAAAGGAAGAGTAATTTGCAAAATTCCAGCTTGATCTTGTTGTATAAATGTTTCTTGTAATCAATCGTACCGATTCTATTTTATTATGCAATAAATAATAAGACAAATCGTTTAGATTCAAAAATAGATAATTGATTTGTGATTTGTTCCTTTATCATTATTTATTTAAATGGTAAATTATCTAATCTATGCATCACATGTTGCGGGCTAAAAACCTAGGAGGCATCCAAATCCAAATCAATTGGACAAAAGGTGTATAGTGGATAGACAACATGTGAATATTTTTATACTATTCTTTATTAGTCTCGAGTAAAAGAGGACTCTAGATCAATAAAAAAAAATAGTTAAGGTATTCCGGCTTTTTCGAAGTAAGAAGGGGTGGATGAGTACATAACAATTTTTTTTTTATTGTTGTATTGTATGTGCTAAACACTATCAATATCATGCTATACTAATTTATCCTATAGTCTTTGATCCAATATTGCTAGTGTACTAATTGCCCTAGTACTTATATAGATGCAAAAACATACATACTATAATTGCATGAAACAAAAATCACCTTTTACCACAAGTTACTATATACTATGTTATTGATAAGACATTTGTGCATACCTATTCAGCTCCCATTTCATATACTTAAAAGTGGTGATTATATTATTTGACGATTGAATTAATTAAAGCCACGATCTATTGGATTGCTAATGTATATGTTGTGTATATTTCGATAAATATAAATTAGTTGGTTGAATGGCATTTATAAACTTTTTTTCAAATAAAAATTAGATTCACCATTTATTTTTTAATTAAAACTAGTATCATGTTCAACACAAAGCATATATATCTGATGTCTTCCTACAACATAAAATCCTAATTCATAATTTCAAAATTAAAACTACAAAATAAATTCTTATTCATGATTTCAAAACTTCAAAACAACAAAACAGATTATTTCGAAATTGAATTTTAAAAAGCAATCATAAAAAACAACCATTTGGATTTGAATTGCAATTTCTTGCCTACAGAATTGAACCATTTTCATATATGATATGAATTGTCGGACCTATTTCAATCGTATAAGTAGTTTTATAATAATAATAATAATAATAAAAAATAAGATAAAAAATAATAATAATAGCATAACTCATTAAATTTAAATTATTTATCCACTTAGGATAATTAATATATTTTTACTACGCCCCATCCCCACTACGAAACTTAAACATGTACACTATTCTTAACCCTAGAAAAGGAGTATATATTTAATTACTTTGTTAAATTCTTCCAAATACCTAGTAAATAAAAGATATATATCATATTTATTAAAAAAATTAGTTTATTTTAGATATTATAATGAGAAGTGAGATAGACATTTAAATACATAAAATATAATAATTAGAAAGTGGATTTCCTCTAGGAAAAATTTATCCCAATAGCAGAAACACATGAGTTGACTTGAAATTTTTATTTTTCTCAATTTTAGTTGAAACATGATGAATTATTCATTAAAATTAAAAAAAAATTATTTCACATTAATAGATAGCCAATTTTGCTTCTTAACACTGGCTAAAACTATCAGTGGACTTGACTATTTTGCTTTAATAATTGATATAGTGCAATTATATATCTTTTTTTTTGGTGATTTGTCTAATCACATAACATAACATTAATATAAGAGTAAATTCTTGTCCAGTTAATACCTTAATTTTCCTATTAGTCTTCAGGGTGGAGATAACATTGTGCACGTGAATTCGATTGATATCAACATACTTTTGTTCAAATAATATATTTATGTTAATAAATCATAAAAATGTATAAATATTAAAATTAGAACTTGAATACTATCATTTAAAATTCATAAAATTAAAATTTTAGTTCTGCTTTTGAGTCTAATCATTCCAACGTTAGAATCAACATGCATTATAATAAAAATATGTTTAGCGATAATAAATATTCACATTATAATAAAGAGTGCTAAGTGCTAACACATTTACCAACACTAGTTAATCGTCATTAAATTTAGTATCGCTATAAATTTTAAAAATATTTATAAAAAAAATTAATTTTCGCCAAAATAAATACTTCAATAACAATTAAACTATTGCTTTAATTAAGTTCTGCTAAAAATGGTTTTTGGTGCAGTGGTACTACAATTTTAATTCGTTCTTGGGGATCTTCTAAGATATTCTTTAATTTTTTCAACCTGATTTTAATATAGTATTTAGTTTATTTAAGCCATCGTTAAGCACTTTGCTTTAGTTAATAATTATCCACTTTACCGTATCATAAAAAATTTAGTTAATTTTATCATATTATTACTGTAATGCCACCCCATACCCGCACACCACACCGATAAAAGGTGTGTTCGATAGGAAGAAAAATAAATGGATTTTATTTTATTTATTTTTGTTGTATTTAATACGTAAGTTATTTTAAAAATATTTGTATATAATATAGACGAATATTAAGAATTGTAAACTATATGTTAGGGAGGTGAAAATGCTAAAAACAAACAAATAACACATTTACAAAATGTTTCAAAATTCTATAGTAACATTGGATTCAATAATAATTAACTAATATCGATAAAGAATTTAGCGAACTCTTTATTAATATATATATTTATTGCCATTAAAATCTGTGAATTGTCGTAATAGTAGCACAAGAGTGAAAATCCCAAAATGGAAAAATAATTGGATTTAGAAATAATAAGCCCTGTGAGATTCCAAAAATTCGTTATATCCTGTTGAATTTTAACAGTTCTTTATTCTTCATCATGGAATATTTTAAAAGATAATTGAACCCCTACTTTTTAAATTTTTATTCTCCTTGATTTTGCTTTTCATAGTGTTGATAAATAATAAATTAATACAATTTAATTCTAATAGGAAAAAGAACTTTAGTAAAGTGATTTAATTTATATACAATTGATGATACAATTTCCAAAACTAACGAACCCCTTGAAAACCTACATGAGCATTGGCCTTTTGGCTTTTGCAACCTAGCTAATTTTTCTCAAAATAGATTTTTTTTTAAAAAAAACTAAAAAAGACTGAAGAATCTTAGCAAATCAGTTGGTTGACTATCTAAACATTCACCTTATTGGTGAGGGTTCGATTCTCTATCTTGTAATCAACTGAATTGATTACTACAAAGTTACTAATTGAGTGTATGTTATAACATATCAATCAATTGAACTCTAGCCACTACACTAATTATTCTATACCTAATGTTGATGGTTAGATACCACACCTTCACGTTGTAGAGGTTCAATCCTTATAATAATTTCTTGTGCTACTTCTTGAGGGTTTGAAATTGTAGTTGAATTAGAGCTACCACCATTGACAATTTTTTGACAAGTTTCAATGAGACAATGTCTACAAGTAGGGCAAAAAGAGTGTGAATTGAGCCATTTATCGATACATCGGACGTGGAACCCATGGTTGCACTTTGGCAAAACCCTAACTTTCTCTCCCGCAACGAATTCTGATAAGCAAATGACACATTCAGAGTCGAGACCTGGATGTTTCAACTCAGTAGTGTATGTTATGATTGGAAAAGTCTTGAGGGCTTTCTTCTTGATCCCGTTATTTGTAAGCTTCGTCGTTGCTGAAATGTTTGTAGAGATCGATGATGATGAATCTGACTCTGATACCAAACTAGTGCATCTTAGTGCACATCTTATGATTGAATTCAAGGCAAGTGAGCAAACTAAAGCACATAATAGTACTGATAGTACCATCACAACATGTGCATCAAATGTATTGGTGGTCTCCCCTTGTGATAGATCTGTTTGTTGTGGGGTGGCTGGTAGAAGTAGTCTTCTTGGATATTGGAAATTTTTCATGAAATCTTGAATTAATGAAGTGGAAGTTATAGTTGCCATGGACTTTTTTGTTTAGTGTGTGTTTTCTTTGAAGTGTTGTGTTTTGTTTGTTGGGGTTGGATGAATAATGTAATTGGTAGTTGCTTAGGACTAATTTATAGGGCAAGAAGATGTACTTTATGGGCCAATAATGAAAGAATAATTATTATAAGGGGAATAATTACTAAGTTTATTTTCCTTCATTAAACAATACTTAAAAGACTTCTCAACCCACATTTTTAATTAATTAACTAGCTTTACTTCTATCTAACCACTACAAATACCCACAAAATGCATTTTTTTTTATAAGAGAAATGGTGGAGATCCAAACGTTATTACTCGTTTAGCTGTTATTTCATTTGCTTTATGTATCCTGTTATTATATTGTCGTTATTTTTCTTTTAATCTTATCTTGATTATATCTTTTTGAGTGAAGGTCTACTAGTAACAACCTTTCTACCTCATAAAGGTATAAAATCACGATTACGTATATCTTACCTACCTTAGAAATCAGTTGTAGAATTACACTAATAATGTTATTATTGTGTTGGTGGTGAAACTCTTGTCATGTTTACGAGTGTTAAGTTTCCATGTCAAAAGCTACTAAATATATTGTGAATATACCGTCATCTTTATTAAAGAGCAATTCACTCTTACGTAAAGATTTTTCGAACGTGAATTCAAATTAAATCGAGGATGCTAAAGATGGTGACGTACAACAGTAGTACATAGCATGAGAAAGTAGAATGGTATAACTAATCTTTAGTATCAATAATTTTTGCCTTTCCAATTTGGATACTCCACTAATATATTTATATATATATATATATATTGTGTGTATGCTAATGGGCTATCTACTCAAGATGGGCCCAGCCCATATTTAGCGTGGAGTAGTCAGCCACGTGGAATTTGCATCATAACTGAGGGGCCCATATTTCTAAAACAAATGCTCTTTTGGGCCCATACATACAGCCCAAGAAGGGAGCAGGAAGCTTCCTTTTCTCTTTATGACATGGAAAATGTATACTTTTGTATATCAGTAATATATATAAATAGCTTTTTGATAAACTATATATCAATAGAGGGGGTGGGGTTAGTTTAGTATATAGTGTGTGTTGAAGTGTGCTCTCTAATGGATTTTAATTTTAATATTGCACCTTTTTATTAATTTTAAAAAGCCAACTTTATAGAATGGCTTAATGAGATAACAACCAACCTATTAATAGTAAAAATATAAAGTTTTCCTTTAGGAATATATAGAGCCTTGTTGTTCCATTCTTTATATTTGCAATGTCCATATAGCCTAAGAACTTTAAGCCAGGATGGTAAATGATTTAGAGATTTCAAATTGACGTTTTGAGAATGAAATTATTTTTAATAAGAAAGTTTTTAAGTGAAAATATTCATTACGAATGAAATTTCAAATTAAAGTAGATATGGAATATCAAATGATATAAATATATATATATATGTATATATTGTTTATATATATTATTTTCACTTCTGATTTTTTTAGTCCTTCTTCAGGGCGATTTCTTTTCCATAAAGAAGAAATCAACAAGAATATTATATGCAAACTAAATCCAACAAAGTTTAGTAATGTTAAGCTGCTATATTTCCACCACTACATTGTAATCATATTATAATTATAAATAAACAAAAAGAAAGACCTAGTGTGGTGAAAAAGGTGTATACAGTGTATCCATTTCTCTAAATTTGTATCAATAAGACAAATAGTGAATCTTTATCATCGAATAATATGAGAGACAAATCTTAGGATTAGCCCTATATCACTAACCAGTTTAGGATTATAATGGGTATAAAATTAATTACTGCCTCTGATTAGAAGTTCAGGAAAATAAATAAATTTTGAGTCGCGTGATTTATTAAAATACTAAAAATATTTATAATGTATTAAAATATATAATTTTTTAAATTTGGTGTTCATTAGAATTATGAAATTGTCAAAGAAAGGACGGAGCTTCCCTTTAAGATTTTTGGTTGTTTATGCAAAAAATTTCAATTGCCACAAATATACGGAGAATGTGCTCAGGAAATTTATAGTAGAGTCGATCACAATGATCGAATTAATTACCTTAATGCATAAAGATACTAGATTACCTAGTCAAAAACCTCTCTTATTTCTTTTCTATTGCAAATTGCAATTTCTAGATTATTATATGATGATTTTTGGACTTTAACTTATTCAAAAAATGACAAATCTTTTCATGACAAACTAATTCATTTCGCAAGTTTGTTATACGGGCTTTGCGAATAATTTTATTATCTTCGGGAACAAGATCACACCCTTCATTACGAGCTTTTACATATGCTTCTGGAGCTACTAAATTAGCTATGATATCTAAGATAACAGACTAAAAAGAAAAATAAGACTAACAATTTAAAATGGGCGATATAGTTCTTTTTTATTTATTTTATAAAAAAAATACTCCCCGTATCATTTCATATATCTTAACTATTATATATAACATTTTAAAATATGAAAAAAGTTTTGAATTTTAAAATCTTGATATTTGTGAGAGGTTAAATTTCTCATTTATATTTGATGCATCTAAAGACTCTGTTCTAGAAATGAATTAATCAGCGGCAACTTAGCATTAAACAAAATGATAATTGGATGGATTCTTTGTAATTTGCGTCAAATTTAATTGAGGTTTCAATATAATTTTTGAATATCAAATATAGTGGGAAAAATAAATAAGAGAAGAAGTACTGTTTGGCTCCACTTGAAAATTTTTGTGGTCTATAAACATTTACTGTACAATATTTTGTGGTAATTAAGCACTAATGTTTATTTTATAATAATATCTCATATTTTCGCAAAAAGCGACTGAAACAAAGGACAAAGTGAAAGAGGCAATTTTTTACTCATTGCTTGTCGGATCGTTCGATTGGAAATAAGTTATTTTAAAATTAATTATTTTGAAATAAGTTTTTTTGCGATAAATTATTCTATCATGTATACGAGATAATTATCTCATCATTAACATATATATGGTGAGATAAATAATCTCTAAATTGCATAATACCTTCAACCAAATATAAGATAAGATAATTCTCCATTATGTAATCTAAAAATTATTATATCTTAATTATATCTTACACCTTACACCAAACGATTTCTTATATAAAACCATTTAGCTTCTATGCACTAATTATTTAGAGTAATTATACAAACTGAATATATTAACAAAAGCAACAAGCATATATGGTGAGATAAATAATCTCTAGATTGCGTAATACCTTCAACCAAGCATAAGACAAGATAATTCTCCATTTAATTAAAAAATTATTATACCTTATATCAAACGATTTCTTAGAACCAGTTAGCTTCTATGCACTAATTATTTAGAGTAATTATACAAAGTGAATATAGTAAGAAAAGCAACAATTATGCTTCGTCTTAATTTATGTGATACATTTTAAATTATGAAATTCAAACAAGTTTTATGTTGATGATAATCATTTTCAAATATTATTTTTTAAATATCTTGAATTTGATTATCAGTTAAAGTACTTTTTACGATCATTTACAAATATACTAAATTTTTTTCACAAATAATCCTGTCGAAGATTCCATGAAAAAAGAAAACACCAAATCTAAGATTTGATCGAACATTTTATATGTTTGTAGCTAGTGTTAGTGTGACTTTCTTTGATTCTTTTAAAGCCTTTCTATAAATTATCTTTTAAACGCAATATTAATCACTATCAGAACTAATCAATTCTAGCTATTTGTATTTGAATAATGAAAAAATTAATAATTTTTCTGAACAATCACTTCTTCATTATTTTTTAAAAATTATTGTGGCATTCAATCCCGTTTATGAATTCCTTGCAGATTTCCCCCCCTTTTTTTTTATTTGTTGTTTGAAAATCGACATTAGAGCTTAATTAAATTCAAATTGTTAACCACAAAACTCACTGAATATGGGACTGACTCTCCTAACAAGATTTTCTACATATTTAAGAATCGATACGAGAGCTCTACTTAACAAATTCATAGTTGAAATAGTATTTGTTTTACTATTTTTATTCTATATATAAAAAGAAACATATTTATCCCTTTTTAGCAATTTATTAATTTTAATTATCTATTTGACAAAATTTAAGACTGCAAAACTAAAAAACATTTAAATACACTTAACATATTTTGAGTTCAAGATCACAAATTCAAAAAAATTCTTTACTTTTTTTTTAAAATTTCATGTCAAGTTAAAATTAAAAAATACTTTTTTCTGGTATATATTTATATCAAATAACTTTGTTCGCCAAATCAATTATCTTTTTTTTTTAATTATTGCAAAATGATCTTTGTCCAAACGCTTATGTCAAAAAAAAGATCCAAACAGATCGAAAAGACTATAGTACCCTTGAGATGCTGTAGAAAGGATTAAGACAAATCAGCCGCTAAATCTTTTCCTCCATCTATTAATTAATTATTTATAATATAAATTAACATGGTAATTAGTCTGATTACAATTTACAACACAGCAAATAATTTTGGAGAATCAAATTTACGCTTAAATTATTGTTCTTGTTGTTTGTAGCTAAAGCAAGATAATCTTCTTAGATACTGATTCAAATCTTTATTAATCAGAAGATCACTAATTAAAAAGATAGAATATAATTAGCAAAAGGCTTTAAACCTGTAAAGCTGATATGGATTTTTTTTTACGAAATCTATTCTATTAAACATATAATATACTTTATTTAGGGCCATGCCAATTTAGATTTCGTATTTCTAATTTATACACCTTTTAAAAAATCATAAATATAAAGTATTTTCTTATAAATTTATTCTTAATTTCTCTAATATAATCAAAATACTGTTTATTGCAAATAAGAACTAATTTTAAAAGTAAAATAAAGATAATAATAATAATAATAAATTTTATCTCAATTTTATAAACCAATAAATATTTTGAAATGAATATCTTTATTTTATTATTTTGGTAATATAAACAACTTGGAACACAAGTTGTGCATAATATCACAAAAGTAGTCTGACCCTTCCATACTAATTTTATGCCTGTGCTCATTAATTAAATATGCAAGAAACTAATTAAGCTTCGAATATCATATTGGTTTAGATTTTTCAAATATCAAATTAAATTATTTGTGTTGATTTTTTGAA